AAGAAAAAAAAGTGGAAAAGGCGGAAATTTAATTTGGATCTTATTAAATATCCGACATATGCTTCTGCTTATTCTTCTACAACAACCGTATATTTCCAAATTTTTTTAGGACACTAATAAATGAGTATATTTATCGTTACTTTCAAGCGTCTATTCTCTTGTTCCTTCCTCTTTCATAATTATTATTTTCCATTTGAATATCTAAAATAAATAAATATCTAAAAGGACTAATTCTCTTTTTCAAAAAACAAAAAACAAAATGTGCCATGTGGAATGGCACAAATAGGGGGAGGGGAAAACCTTTTTGTTGTTAGTTGTTTGCATAAAGCTTAGTGAAAGTTGAATTTTCTCACTTTTAAAATCAAAAATTTTGAGATATTTGAATTAATACAATACATAGCTTTTATTCTCTGTTCTTTTTTTTTAAGGAAAAATAAAAGAAATAGAAATGGAAGCAATGAATGACAATGATAAAGTTCAATTTCATGAAAAAAATTTTCACTATCTTTTAACTTTAAAATAAATAATTTCAATTTTCTCAAATATCAGTGTACTTTAACAGACAATATGTAAAATTTTTGTAAAAGAAGTATCAAAAAATGAAGCAAAAGAAAAGAAGAGAAAGCTTAGAAATTAACGAGTTGCAAAAAAAAAAGAATAAATTAGAATTGGGCATTACGGAGTTACACTATATGAATACGGCTTTTATCATAACAAATCATAACTGATCTATCAGTGAGCTTATTTGCTTAAAAATTATTATCATCATTTTAGTAGATAAGAGATAATTGTTTAAACAAATTTAAATAAGTCATTGAATTTAAATATGAAAGAAATAGGGAATTTATTTTTTTCTAGTAATAAATTTGATTCAGTATTTTTGTTCCTAATTTTTTCGTAATTAATTAAGGTGTAATAACGGGGGCTAATTGTTCGAATTTATTACGTCTGGAGCCACCACCTCTTAACAATAATCGATATGTAGTTCGAGTTGATCGTAAATTTCGAATTTCTTGCATCTGCCAACAGAATTCTATAAATTGCTTGCATCTTACATGGAGGAATGAATTCGGTCGTAAAATAGACGGCGAATCTTCTAACAGGTAAAACATTATTTCAACTGTAAAGTATATTCATAAGCTAATTTTACTTCACTCTTTGATCAATTACAATATAACTTGATAAAATGTTAAATTATTTCAACATTTCATTACATCAATTTTATCATCGATCATAATTTAACAAATTGATATGAGATAAAATTTTATTATTATTATTTTTTTTCGATCCATTATGTCACTTCACTCAAAGTGAAATGTTTCATTATGCACAAACATCAAAATATTGCTTGGAGATAGTTAATACGAAAGTTTTAACTTATACATTAGATAATTAATTCATTTTATCTTATGTTTATAATTCTTAATTTTTCATACGCATATATTTTTAGCTTGTTTACCGTAGAATTACGAGAGCATGACACAATGTACAAAAAATTATCATTGGTATTCACCCGAATTGCAAAACGTGATACCGGTTTCTACAGATGTGTTGCCAGGAATTCAAGAAGAATGTCGGCTGATTGGAAAGTGGAACTTATTGTTGTCGGTATTAAATTTCTAATTTTTATGTGAGAAATATGGAAAAGATAACGATCGCCTTGTTACTGTTACTGTTAAAATGTTTACAAGGATAAAATATTTGCAGATGAAATTCGTTGGAAAGAAAACAATGATGTTGTTGGAGGAATGCTCGGCGAATCATTAACCATTGATTGTGGATCTATTGGAAATCCACAACCTGAAACACATATTACAAATCATAATGGATTTCCACTTAATGGTTTATTTTAGTTTCATATTATCAAATTTTTGATAACATGAAATGATTCCGATTTTAAACCAAATGGAGTAATATTTGAAAATTTTAATTGTTTATCAAGTAGGTTATGATAATTTCATTTAAATGTGTTTTTGTGAATTAATTGCATAGATGTTACAAAGTTACAATAAAGCATTTAGTTACAGAGGATAATTTTATAATCAGAGAGATATGGTCTGAAAAATGATGCAATTAAAAAATGAGAGCCATTCATAAATTTTATTCATTATTCATTTCAAAAGTTTTTATACTAATATTCTATGAATTTTAAAAGTTTTTGCACTAATCAATCTACGGTTTGAAAGAAAATTAATAGTAAAAGAAAATATTCTGAAAGTGACAAACCAATGATCAATGAGTTTTGCTAGTGAAAGAAAAATCAGAGGTTTTAAATGATGAAATAACAAATCTAACTGATTTGTTGAATTTTATTATTACATCGTACACTTTAGACCAATTATTATATTTCATATATTATCTGATAATTTAAAAACATTAACATAAATTGATTTAATCTAAAATAGAATCAAAAAAGTTACCTTTTTGATATACATATTTGTAGAAACATTATTCGTTATCGCTGGAACAGAAGTAACTGTAAATAAGCTTACGAATGAGTACCAAGATACTATCATCAAATGCTTATCGGTCCAAGAATTTGAAAAATACGATGCAACAGTTGTTGAACAGCACGAAATTCGATTGGATGTTTGGTGTTCGCCTTTAATACTTTCTTCAATTTATTTTTTTTTTTTAAATCGGAAAGAAAGAAATGTTACTTTATAATCATTTTCGTTTGTGTAAATGTGCAAAAAAAAAATGATGTCAGCTTTCATGAATGGTAGCATTTTGATTTGAAGTTATATTTGCATTAAAATGGATAATTTTAGCACTTCCGGAATTTAGTAAACCATATGTGGAACGTTTTATTGTTCTGGATCACTTAGCTCAGATCTGTTGTAATGTAACACGTTCGATTCCACCGGCTACGCATTTCCGATATTTGAAAAATAGGCATGAAATCTGGAACGATAGCAATCATATTATATCCATTGATGCTTTAAATCAAAGCAGCTGTCTCAAGGTAACTTTATTTCTCAATTTTTTTTTTCAAATTATTTCAATTAACTTGAACAACAACATGCGAATCATTATACTTCTCCGCAAAATTTAGTGATATTTAAAATATTTTCTAGAAAAAAAACTTTATTCAAAATTAAAAAATTATTTTTTATTTCTTAATATATCAATATGACTGTATCTTTATTATAATATCGATTAAATTATTTTTAACACGACGATTATCATTCCTTTTTTTTCTTGTTTTTGATTAATTTGCATTACACTGCAGATTTTATCACCAACGGAATATGATTTGGGTGAATATCGATGTGAAGTGAGCAATGGAAAGTCTAAATCACAACAAACAATCGCGGTGAAAGAAGCAAGTATGTAATGTTGATATAGTTCACTTAGTGAAATTTTACTATAATTTTTGAAATTTAAAAAAAAAAAGAAAAGAATCCTGCATAGTTATAGGTCCACCTGGTGAAGTTCATGTTTCATTACAAGATGTTGGAATGACTTATGTCATATGGAAAATTGAAGAAGGATTTGGTGAACAGTTACCAATACAACGTTATATTATAGAATATATTAAAAAATCCATTCTGGAACAAGTATATCATTTTTTTTTTTCTTTTATCAAAAAAAAAATGAAGAAAAAGTTGAATTTTCTAACAAAAAAAAAAGTTGAATTTTCAATTTTTACTGTTTTATTTTTATCAAATGATATTAAATATATCCAAAGCATTCTGCTAAATTTTTATTGTCTTCCTTCAAAAAAACAAAAAAAAAAAAGATTTGCAGAAATTTTTCATACCGTAAATCAATGATTAATTTTTAGAGTCGTGATCAAACCAGAGAAAATAATCGTGTTTGGTTTGCGCATGCTGTCAAAATGGATGTACATTTGAGTAAGTTTAACTGCTATCTTTTTTTTTTCTTTGTTTGTTTTGGTTTGTTATAAAAGTGCAAAGATATCATTTCATTAAGGCTATTTTGTTATTTTTTCATTAAAATAAACAAGTAAATTTATAACTTATTTAAATAAACAAATGATATAACATAACGTATTACATATGTGCTATCATACTTTATCAATTAAAGTTATCATCATTTATAGGTAAGGATGGATTATATGAAGTTGGTGGATTACGTCAAGGAACAACATATATATTTAGATTCACAGCGGAAAATGAAGCTGGAATTGGTGATACTGTTACTTTAACCGTAAA